CTAAAAAAAAAAAAAAAAGAACTTGGAGATATAGAGGCAGGCACCCAATAATTGACTTCAAATACTGGATCAGAGATTAACTAGGCTGTGTGGGTCTCCAGTGCCGTCTTAGAACTATTGGATTGAAGGTATAGGAGGGGAGGTTTGGGCACAGGGTAAGCAGCCTTTTGCAGCAAGGGGCTGAGTGACTATTGGATAATTGTTCCAGGCAAGAAGTAAGGTATTGGTGACTAACATGGTTACTTCCAAGTCTCAAATCTTCTGGCTACACTAAGCCCTGTGATTGTGTCACCTCATTGACATTTGATCAGTTGCCCCACCTGCTGTTTTGCTTATGGAAGTTTGCTATTGCAGAGAAAACAGCTTCCACTTCCTGTAAACCTAGTGATTACTTAAGGATGTCAGCCCTTAGAAATGGGTAAGATAATAGATGAGGTTGCAAATAGTTATGGACAGCATAACCCTTTCTGTAGGAAAATATATGAATATTAACAGACCAGTCTGGATGGTTATACATTCAAATGCTAACATGTCTAATTGGTGGGATTATATAGATGACTGGTTCTTATAAATTTCAAGTGATAAAAGTATTGTTTAGGGCAGGGATTAGGACTTACCTATTCATATGAATTCCTTATTGTATTAGTCTGCTCAGGTTGCCATAATAAAATTCGGTAGACAGGGTGGCTTACACAACAATTTATTTTCTCATGGTTCTGGAGGATAGAAGTCCCAGGCTAAGGACCAGCAGGGTCAGACTCTGTTGAGAACTCTTTCTCCGACTTGCAGATCACCACCTTCTTGTTGTGCCATCACACAGCCAGTGGTGGCAGAGGAGAAATTTCTGGTCTCTTCTTCTAAGGACAGTCTTATAGATTAAGCCACACCCTTATGAACTCAATTAACCTTAATTACCTCATAAATACCCTGTCTCCATATCCAGTCACACTGGGGAGTCAGACAGAGTTTTAACATATGAATTTTTTTTGGGGGGTGAGGAGGGTACAATTTAGTCCATAGCATGTATGGTCACCACGAACACCAAAAACACTTGGTTCATAAAACAGTGAATTCTGTTTAGGACAAGAACTAGACCAGAGATTCGGTGCTGCAGGTCATTAGCTGGTATTAGATATCTGAGTTTATGCTCAATAGAAAGTCACATGCTTAGCACAGTGTGTATTGGCAAATGCCTCCTGCTTCCCTACCCTATCCACCCCAGCCTTGGATGCCCCCTCCCATTAAGCTGAAAATTATTTTCTAGAAACCAAGAGAGTTTAGCTAAAATTCCAGCCTTTATTCACCTTAGATCACTTCAGACCGTGTTTTCATTTCTCCATATTTGAGATGAGGGCTAGTCCATGTGACCTCTTCTCCCAAAGTTTCACAAATTCTATGAATCCAACTCTACAGAAAATCACCTAGCCTTCCCAAGTCAGGACCCACTTGATCTAGAGAGAAAAGTGCCATTTATATGAGACAAATTTGTTAAAAGAGCTTTCTTGTGCCCATTTTTTTGGCTAAAATGTGTACCCTAATGTACTTCCTTAGATCACCAAGAAGGAACCACAGCAGCCTTAACATAGTGATTATATTTATTATTTTATTGCTACATTAGAAATGAAAATGAACTGTGAGAAGCTGCAAAAGCATGCAACTTCATGAAGATTATGAAGCAATGGAGGCAACCATTGTAGAAGGTTAAAGGTGACTTATCCTATAGGGGGTGCAAGGATCACACACACAAAGGTCATCAATGGTGAGATTATCAACAGCATCTGCCAGCTGGAATTTATGTACCAATGGAAAGTTTAAAAATGTATGTAAAGGAACATTGGCTACCCCTTAGCCAGGGTGTAGTGGTGAGAAGACATCAGAAGATGCCTAAAATCTCTACAACACAAAGGTTTACAAAAAACAAGCTCAAAAACAAGACACTCAGGCAATGATGAAATTTGCTCCTGGGAGATCCTCATTTTATGATGTTTGAACACACTCTTTTTCCTGCTGGATAGCTGGGGGAAAAACATAAACACAAAAAAATCATTAAGAGGGCATTTTCCTAAGATTAAGTTCAGTTTCTTCCAAAACAGCTCTTTGCAAAGTCAATGAAGGCTACCATACCTGTTTTAAATTTAGAATGTCAAGGCACTAACCACAAATCCTCCGTCGTGTGTGTGCATGCATGCACAAGTGCGTTAATGACCTGAATGTTCATTAGACTTTACATGAACTGTGGTTTTTGTCCCTTTTGAGAGGTAGATTTATACTGCTGCCATTTTCCCCATAGTTATTCTGAGAATGAGGAGCAAGTGAAGTATTTTCTTCAGGTTTATCTATTGCTATACAATTAACAATTATGAAGTTATGCCTTTTAAGACAATTTTAACTAACTTTGGGAATTTCAAACAATGCTGACATGACAAAACGTGCCCCTTGTCTTGGAGTTTCTTCAGCACACTGTTAAGTCTGGAGGGGAAAACTGATCTCTTGATCCCTGGGAGACTTGAGTATACCCAAGATCTAAATTGGTTCTCCCACCTCTTCTTGTGGTGAGCTAGAGAAGGCCAAAATCACAGTTTGCCAGGCTTTCTACAGATGAGATCACAGACCCATATTGCTAGATGCAGAAAAATGCCAAATAACCAAAAATTTGAAAAAAACAAGATGTTTTCAATGCTAAGTCCAATACTCAAAAGATTTGTTTAAATGTGGTTTTTAGTAATTTTCCAACAAAAACTATTTTTTTAAATTCCCCCGTTACTACTAGGGCCTATTTTGTGAGAACCACTTATTTATATAAGCCAAGTAAAAAGGCAACTATTTGATATTTTTAAATGTTAATATATCATTAAATACATTGGTACTCTATTACTCAATTTATGGCAAAATTTACTAGAAGCATTTATTTACTAAGTATACCAATTTTCACCATTGTTTGTCTCAACCAGAAAGCCCACATGACTTACTTTCCTTTGAGGGGAGAGTATTTTTCTCTTCTGTGTTAGTTTTCTTCAGTTTTGACCGGTCAAATTTCTCCACTTCCGACAAGTCTGGCTTATCACTCATCTTGACTAAAAGAAAGACTAAAAAAAAACCAAAAACAATAACAAACCTTATCTGGTAGAACTGTTATCACACTAAGGAGTAACAGCCAAAATTCTAACATTGAATATCAAAGTGTATTTTACCTGTTGATTTCAACAGAAAAACAGCAACAGATCTTAGCGAAATCATGTTTTTTATTAGATTACTTTTTATTCTGCATCGTTACCCCATTTCTGACAGGCAGTACATGCAATTGGATTAGGATACACTAGATCACAGCAAATGTAAAATGGAGGTGATAGAAGCACAAGAGCAGCTAGAGATAGAAGAGAAAAATAAGGACTGGGTTTAACCAGTTTATAAATTTGTCACAGGAGATGGCATTATTTGTGCACCTTCACTTTGTATTCAATTACTTTGGGGGGCATTTTTCTTGGGGAGTAGTGAGCAGCACACAAAAAAATGGTAGCATAAGTTGGACTGGTTTCTATCCATTTCATATGCCCAAAGACAGTAGATTATGGGGCTACAATAAGAGACGGAGGGGTTTAATGCAGTTATAACTAATTAAACGTCTCATAATAGCTCCTTGTCGCACTGGTTTGTAAACACTGCAAGAAGGCACTGCTGATTAGGATCAGACCAAGGACTTCAGCAGAATGGGATAAAACCAAACAGAGTTCCTTTTTATTTCATTTCAGTACGTTTTCTCCACAAAGGGAGAGGCGAGGAGGTGAAGCTAGGAGATGAGGTGCCCTGTGACCGACCCATCGGTTTGTCGCGAAGAGACAATAGGAAACCCCAGAGACCGGAAAGCAGAGCTCTCATGCCTGTGCCTGACCCCGCCCTGGTGGGGCTAATGCACATCTAGTGACCAGGGTAGAGTGGCGGGGCCCCAAATAGCCAAAAGTCCCGAATATACCTCCTTTCCCTCGAGGTCACCCTAAGACCCGCCTTTGACCAGCGATCAGACGCCAATCTCCAGAGGTGGGAAACAGGGACTTCACATAAATAACAGGCTGGGCGCAAAGGCCAGTTTGTTGGCAGCACTTTGCTTACATTTTAAAATAACTATCATCGTAGTCGGGCACCCAGCCTCACCTATCCGCCACGGGAGGGGAGAGAGCGAAGGGCCAGCCCCCAAGGGCCCATCCCGGAATGTCCCCAAACTCCTCGTCCTCGCAGCCTGGGACCTGCAGCCACAGCGGACAGGCCGCTCTGGGGGCCGCCTCCTCGGGTCTTCCGGACCAACTCGGGAGGACTCGGCATCGCGCGCAGAAGGCGGCGCCGAGGAAGACAAAGGCGCGGAATCGCCAGGAGGCGCAGATCCGAAACGCCAGTCCCAGCCCGGCCTCCCCAGTTCCCCAAGGCCAGACAGTCCCCGCCCCGCGTTCGCCGCGCCCTCCAGCCTCCATCCCTCCGGCTCCAGCGGGGCCGCACGTCCTCACCTGAAGGCTTGAAAACCGGTGAAAAGCAGCCAACTGACGAAGCCACTCCACACACTGGCCGAGATTAGCCTTCCCGCGCGGAACACTGCAGTAATAAGCCGTGAGGCAGGCCCCGCCTATGACCCTGCCCCAGACCCCTCCGGTTGGTCCAAGGGAACCCAGGCCCGCCTCCTCGCCCCTCCCTCCGCTTTAGCCTTGCAGGCCTGTGTCCACCGCCTCGCCTCTATTCAGGACCTTACCGCCTGCATCAGGGTTTTGATGACGTCATACCGGACCCGCCTCCCCAGACCCAGTCCAAGTCCTCTCCAATTTGCCCAGGGACAGATCGCTGGCAGGACTCCCTCGAATCTCCTGCTATTAAGTCAGGAGGTTCCATTTTCCTTCTTCCCAAGTATACTCATTCCGCCACTATGATAGAGGCCTCTACAATAAGCAGACAGTTCTTGCCCAGTTAGATTTGAATGTCTGAACTCTGAGATCCAAGCTGAAGGAGCCCTAGTCAGGTTCTCTTGGTTTTGTATAGCCATGCAAGCCCTTATGCTGCGACGACCAAACAATGGTTTGGAAATGATGCTGTGTTGTCTATTCTAATCGTTGGCCATGTCGTGGAGGAGGGGTGCTCATGGAGAGGGTGGCAGTTCAGGATCATTCACCCCCACAACTGACATATCTCTGACAGTGGTTCTCTCATACGTAAAAGTCACATTTTCAACACACAATGTGATATATAGATGATGTATTACAGAATTGTATACCTGAAACATATGTAACTTCACTAACCATTTTCACCCCAATAAACTTTAATTTTTTAAAAAAAGAAAGAAACTATAAAACCATTTAAAGCAAGATTAAAGGAATGCAGTTGCTTAGGTGTCCTTTCTCACTGATAATCAACTTACAATAGTGATTGCTTACTCCAGCCTATTTTTCTCTTATACTTTAGTAGAATATACTAACTCGCCCTGACATTTTTAGATTAGTTTTTGTGTTTTATTTTGTTTTGTCTTAGCATGTCCATGGCACCAAGATCTCTATAGTTATCTTTTAATAAAAACTTCATATGGAAAAAAAAGTCACATTTTCAGTTTTCTCACCCACTGGACGTGGTGATAGTTTAAGGTAATCAGATGAGAATCTACTGAAGCTATTCATCTTTATATCCTGATCCCTAGCACTTTGCTTGGCCCATAGGAGACACTGGATAAATACTTGTCTGTAGATTGAAATAATAAATCCATGATAGAGCAGACATTTTGGATAACAGCACCACCCAGTGTCTATGTTGGAGGAGAAGAGTGAGGATCCAGTACTTACTTGAAAGAACTAAATCTGCAGTTTCATTTTCTGGATACTCACCCAGAACCTTAGAGCATTAATGTAAAATGGAGTAGGACTATGTCTTTAGTTTCACCCCATATTTTCCATATGGTTCATGTATGGTGGTAGAGTTCTGCATAGATCACCAATCTCTCTCTCTGCAAGGATTTCTCAAGCCTTCCCCATCTCTCTCCATTACCTTCTCTATGCTCTTGTAGCACATTGTGTTAATTTGAGAATTCTGTCTGTTGGAGAAACTTTTAAGAGAAAGGCAAACTCATTCAACAAATAATATTCATTGAGTACCTACAATGTCCCAGGCATTAAATATAATAAACACCAATGTTTCCATCATCAGATTTGAATGTTGTTAACATTTGGATATATTTACTTTTCTTTTTTTAAGAATAAAAACACTACAGAAAAATTGAGGCATACTTGACAGTGGCCCCAAGGCCATTCACCTTCCCACTTCCCAACAGTAGTCCTATCCTGAATGTCAAGTGTAGTTTCTAGCCCATTTTTCTATCACTACAGATTTATGTGATCTGTTTCCAGGAGCAATATGGAGCATTGTGTGAACCAGTGCCATGGGTGTAAGACTGAATTTCCACATCACTAGGGGTTGACAGGAAGCCCCAATTACCTCCCTCTCCCTAGCCCAAACTTCAAAGTCCTGCAACCCCTATCTGCCCTGAATCCATCAGAACTCATTCAATGATGGTGCTTATCCCCATTTGTGCCAGTCACCACAAGAATCCTCAAATCCCCAGGCACCCCTTCAAGTACCACATTCTAACCTCAATAAGGCTGTGATCACATCCTCTCTTTAGTTCACTTCTTGAACCCCTCTTCTACTCCTAAAACAATACACTCTCAATAATCCACATCCTCAACCTCTTCTCTGAATGTGCCCTTCATTGACTTCCCCTAACAGAAATCAGGCTCTTCCCTGAGGACTTTGTGTTCCCTGAAGCTCACTCTGCGGGAGACCAGCTCCCACAGGTCCAGGGGATCCCTCAGGTGGAGACGGAGTGGGGGTGGGAGACTGAGACAGAGTTTTTCACTTGTGAGAGAAAGAGGGAAGTCTTTATTCAAGGCACAGCGTTTTTCTTATATACTGGTTACACACGCTTGTTTTAGGCTAAGGTTGCTTATCTCCTAATAGATGGCGTTACAATTTTTGCTAGTAAGCCGTCTTTTCCCCCCTGGGGGGTGAGGGAGGAGTTTGAGGTAGTAAGGAAGCAAATGTTCCCAAAGCGAGACCAAGTATAACAAGTAGAAACTGCTAACAGGGTGGCAATTCACTCTGTAACTTTCAAGCTTGTTTGTGACTTAGGCTTGCAGCAGTACAGTGGAGAAGGTGATCTATCTAGCCACCTTCCCACACTGCTCACCCAGCCTGAGAGCCTGTCAGCTTGTCAGCAGCCAGGCTTAACCCTTACTGCAGACCTCCGGCTCTCCACACCACTCAAGAGGAGATAGTTCCTGTCTTACCACCATTGTACCACAGAGCCTGAAGTTTGGGTAAATGTCATCCTTGCTTCTCATTGCTGCCTTTAGACCATTCCTCTCCCACCTCCCTGAAAACTTCCAGCTTTTGACAGCTTGTCACCAACTGATCTTCACTGAGGCAAATCATCACGTCGGGACCAAGACAGTTTGTGCGCCACATTGTTGTAAACAATCCACTTCTCATCACCAGTTATCATTGGCTTCAAAAAAAGTCGTTTTCCTCACGTTTAATGAGCATATTGCATATGTTTATACACGCCGTCAAATGAACTTCTTTGAGTTCAAGCGGAACCCAAATATCGAGCTTGTTTACGTATCCCAGGTTCTTCAGGTGGTCGTGAATGCTTGAATGATGGATGTTCACTGTTTCTGCAATCTCTCATGTCATGTAACATGGGTTTGACTCGATCAATGCCTTTATTTTGTCGTCACCAGCCTCGGTGGGCATCCCTGACCGAGGAGCGTCATTGAGATCAAAATCACCAGCACGGAATTTTGTGAGCCATCATTGGCACTGACGTGTTTGTAGAGCATTGTCACCATAAACTTTATGCAACTTTTCACAAGCCTGATGTGCGTTCTTCCTTTTATGGAGGTTAAACAGTAAAATATGGAAAAATACACAGTTTGTTCTTCCATCTTCAACTTGTTGTAAAATCTCCAAAACTCAACCAAATCGCTCAATTTTTTTTACAATGAAGCTATAAGTATCAGCTGTCAAATGACATACGAATAACATAGATGCGAATGACTCTAAGTACTTTCAAAAATGAACTAGTACCATCTGTTGCAAACATGCATCATGACTTTTCCGAAGACCTAATATCATTGGTGAGTATCTTCTCCCATTCAGTAGGATGTCTTTTCACTTGGTTGATGTTTTCCTTTGCTGTACAGAAAATTTTTAGTTTTATGTAATCCCATTTGTTTATTTTTTCTTTTGTTTCCCTTGCCTGAGGAGATACATCAGAAAAAATATTGCTAGGAGCAATGTCAGAGAGTTTACTGCCTATGTTTTCGTCTAGGAGTTTTATGGTTTCTGGAAGTTAATCCATTTTGAGTTATTCTTGTATATGTTATTAAAAGGTAGTCCAGTTTCATTGTTTTGCATGTATCTGTACAGTTTTCCCAACACTGTATTAAATAGATTGTCTTTACCTTATTGTATATTTCTGCCTTCTTTGTCATAGATTGTCAATATATGTGTGAGTTTATGATTGGGCTCTCTATTCTGTTCCATTCATTTATGTGCTTTTTAAAATTTTTTTAACTTTATCGGGGAACAATGTGTTTATTTTGGGAACAATGTGTTTTTTCCAGGACCAAGTCAGGTTGTTGTCCTTCAGTCTCAGTTGCGGAGGGCACAGCTCAGCTCCAAGTCCAGTCGTCATTTTCAATCTAGTTGCAGGGGGTGCCATGAAGGTGTCGAACTGGCAACCACGTTGTTAAGAGCACATGCTCTAACCAACTGAGCCAACTGGTTGCCCACCAGCAGCTCAGCTGCAGCTCAGCTCAAGTCATTGTCTTCAATTTAGTTGTGGAGGGCATAGCTCACTGGCCCATGTGGGAATTGAACCGGCCACCCTGTTGCTCAGAGCATGTTCTCTAACCAACTGAGCCACCTGGCTGCCCTGTGCGTTTGTTTTCATATCAGTACCATGCTGTTTTGATCACTATAGACTTGAAGAATAGCTTGATATCAAGTACTGTGATATCTTCAACCCTGTTCTTCTTTCTCAAGTTTGCTTTGGCTATTCAGAGTCTTGTGATTGCATGTAAGCTTTAGGATTATTTGCTCTAGTTCTGTGAAAAATGCCATTAGTATTTTGATAAGGATTGCAATGAATCTATAAGTGCTTTGGGTATTATGGACATTTTAACAATGTTAATTCTTCCTATGACTACAGCATATACTACTATTTATTTGTATGTTCTTTAATTTCTTTCTTTAATGTCTTAATATTTTCTGAGTACAAGTTTTTTACCTCGTTCGTTAAATATATTCCTAGGCATTTTTTTAATGCAATTGTATATAAGATTGTTTTCTTAATTTCTCTTTCTGATAGTTCATTATTTTGTATAAAAATGCAACCAATTTCTGCTATTATTATATATTTGTTAA